CTCCGCGGGCAGTGCCCCGCGCTGCACAGCAGCACTCCGGAATCCCACAGGATTCACCACCTCACCCACCCCGCTGCCCTCCTGCAGCTGCAGCTCTGCAGGAGCCGTCACTGCGCTTACACGTGGCACTGTCACCGCTCCATTAGGAAAGGGCACCGAGAGGTGTCTTCTCCTCCTGGAGAAGCCAGGACAGCAGCACCCACCATCACCTCCCCAGGCTCCCCTGTCCCGCCGTGGGCAGCCGGAGGTACCTGCGGCCGGTGCCCGCTCGGGGGCGGGGGGCGATGTCCTGTGCAGGGCAGCGTTTCCCACCTTGCCGGCAAAGCCGCCGATCAGGCGGTTCTCCAGCTCTGCGTACACAGCCGACATCTGGGAAAGGGCAGAGAGCTGCTGCCGTGCCTGAATCGAGACAGGGCTTGTGGACCCCCAGAGACCTGCAGTGTCCTGAGGACAGGGCAGCCCCCACGGACTCACCAGTCCCCCTCTCTTACTCTTTCAAGGGGGGTTTCACCCCGGCCCAGGCTACTCTGGCTTTTCTGAACACCTTCACTGTTCATTAATCAACTGTCTGTTAATAAGGCAGACACCAGCCTCATTAAAGGTGACTAATTGCCCAGGGAAGTGACCTCAGAGATGGGCACCAAGGCAGGGACACTGTCAGCCAACAGCAGGTATTTACCCACATCCTTCCCCATTCCCTTTTTCCCGCTTTCCTGTGTTAACAGTAACGGAATCAAACTGCTGGCCCTCCCCATGGATGCAATGGTCCCAACACACCAGCAAAGCTCTCCCCAGATTCCCCCCCATCACACCATTTTGGGGTTGGGTGTCTCCGGGAGGGATGTGCCGTCACCAGCCTGTCTCTCTCCAGGGATCAGGCGAACTGGGACCTCCACGGTGTCACTGCCTGGGGAAGGAAGAGGCAAACCAGTCACTCCTCTGCCTGTGCCCCCCCCTCCCCATGGCCCTGGCCTATCGAAGTCCCCCTGTCTCCTACTGGGACCCGGAGTGACCTCCCTGCCCCAGCTGCCGCCTCTGGGGGTCCCGAGGGACCGGCGCGGGTGGGCCCAAGGTCAGCACTGCAGTTCCAGCCTGCTCTGCCCTTCCCTCAGGGCAGCTGAGGACAGGGCTGCTCCCCACAGCTGGTGAACATCTGCCCAGCCAAGCAGCTTCCCTCTAGCACACACAGCTGTCAGACACTCTCCGAGCTCTAATCCCGACCAGAAAGGCTCCTCAGGTTGGAATATCTCCCCCGGGAAATGTCTCAGACCCCCCTGACAGCTGAGGAACACCACATGGCCGGGAGGTCCTGGCAGGGAGGTCATGGGGAGGTCGTGGTGGGGAGGTCGTGGTCAGAAGCCGTGAGCACAGACCAAGGGCCCTTTGCCATCAGCCAAGAGAGATGGGGGATAGGCAGGATGCTGTGTCCTCTGAAGGGAGGGAGGGTTTGTGCCCTGAATGTGGTTCATCAAGAGTCTCAAAGTGGCCCTGAGCCATGATCTTATTCCTCACAGGGATTTCACAAATGCTGTTTTCCCTGTGAATTTGATGGGGTCTGAGAATGTTCACAGGGAAGCTTTAAACTGTGTCCCCCAGAAGGGAGGGCTCAGACCAGCAGGACAAGCTCACATCCAAGCAATGGAAGGGACTGGAAACAATGTTCAGCCTCAGACCAAGGCCCATCTTATTCAATTGATTATTTTGGGTTATTTCAATGTGGAATCGCTGTCACTGGAGGTGTTCAGGAAATGACTGGACGTGGTACTCAGAGCTCTGCTCTAGCTGACAAGGTGGTGATTGGTCAAAGGTTGGACTTGATGATCTTGGAGCTCTTTTCCAACCTTAATTATTCTATGATTCCATGATTCTAACTGTTTCTGAAAACATGGATTTCCAGTCAAAGCCTCAGTGCTGGCTCTACTCTGACCTCAATCCTTTCCTCCATCTTTTCCCACCGTTCAAGCTTAGGAATAGTTCAGGCTTTTGGCTTGGGGCAGAGCAGAAGAACACTCTAGGCACAACCCCCCCGTCCCAGCCCCCTCCTCCCCACACCCCCATCACCCACCTGCTGCCCCCCCTTCCTCGGGGCGGGGGGTCCGGAGGCTGCCCCGGCACAGGGAGGCCCCTCGGACGGAGCTGCGGAACCGATCCTCCACCTCTGCCTCGGCTGCAGCAGGACACACCTCTGTAAGGCAGGGCCAGACCCCACAGCTCCCCTGTCCCTCTCACCACAGCACAGGGCCCCCCAGGCCCATGGGACCGGGGGCTGCCATCTCCTGGTACCCACTCCCTCCATCCTACACCATCCCTGGGGAGCTGAGCAGGTTCCAGACGCTCCTGCCAGCACAGGGCAGGGATGGATGCCCAGAGATGGGACATCCAACCACTTTTTCCAGCAGGATTTGCATCGACCAGCTCATGGGGCACACAAAACTCCAGCTGGTCTCAGCAAACTCCTTCCTGTCCTCACGGGACAAGAGGGAAGCGGGGCCAGCACTGGAATGCTGCCACACGCTGTGTGTGCCTTGTCCACGTGCAGTTCAGGGTGGCAGCTCGGGGAGGCTCAGGCTTGCAGCAGGATGGAGGTACAGGAGCATCTCCAAGGGACCCAACAGAGCAGGGCTTGGACAGCCTGGCACAGACACCAGAGATCACCAGAGTTTGGGAGCCCAGGAGAAGGACCAGCCCAAATTCAGAGATCTCTGGCAGTGCACTTCCATGCACAGACACACAGAATGGACCAGAACAGCCAGAACTTCTCATGGTCAGAGACTGCCCCGTTCACCCGAGAAACTGGGAGGGGCCAGGGACCAGCCTGGAATTGGGAACAATTCCAGCCTGAAACAGTCTGGGACAGAGAGACTTACTGCCATGCTTCCCTCCTCCCCTGGCCGTGGATACCTGGTCTGTATTCCTAAAATACAGCTGCAAATTTCTTCGTTTATACACTAATAAATCCTTGGGAATCTGCAGCCCCTCATGCAGGCTGAGCCATGGTTCTGCACACACAAAGCAGAGGTGCCTGAGAGTGCAAACCCAGGGTGCAGGAGCACAGGGTTCCATGCACAACAGGCAGGATTGCACCAGGACTTGGAGGTGTTTACTGCTAAAATAACTGTGTTCCTCCAAAAGTCTCTCTCCAAGCAACATCTCTTTTACCTTCACTGAGTCTAAAATGAACACATCAATGTAAACAGCTGAGAGCAGAAGAATTTGGAAGCAATTAAGGGCCCAAATGCACAGATTAGACATTTCACTACAAATTTGCCCTCAGCAAACAAACTGCTGCCAGGTTTGTGCTGCCAGGGAACCAGGTGATGGTGAGGGGACAGGAGGACCAGGGAGAAGGGGGACCACCAACTGCCCTCCATGTCTTTTTGGGAGAGCAGCACCTCACTCCTCACCTCCTCCAACCACGGATGCCTGTGTGACTGCTGGGAACATCCCCAGGGACATTGTGCCACCACGTATTTTACCTCTCTGCTCTGAACACTGCCCTTAAACCAGATACTCCCTTCCTGGACTTCCTCACCTCTAACGACCTGAGCAGCTTCCAAAAGCCTTTGCTCCCAGGGACACCCTCTCAGGTGCCATCCCTCCTCTCAGTGCAGAGTTTCATTCCAACACCACACGGCTCCCAGTGCAACGGGACATGGGGGAACACGGTGTGTCCATCTCGGAGCACAAGGACTTTCCTCTCACCTGCCAAGGACTTGTACCCAAGAAACCTGTCAATCTTTTGCTGGCAGTGCTCCTGCTCCTCGTAGGTCAGCAGCTGGTAGATAAACTGCCAGATGACTTGCTTGGCCGGTGTGTCCAGCACCGGGTACACATCCACAATGAGAGTGTCAATATTCCTGCAGAACGGGAGAGAGAGGGCTGGGCAGGGAGTGCATCCCCAGGGCATGGTGCCCCCACGCCACTTCCCGGGGCTCCGGCACCTCCCAGCCCGCCTGCCCCGGGATCTGGGCTGTGGGATCACCTCGGAGCCTCCAGCACGAACCGATGGTTTCACAGCACAGGTGCAGGGGTTAAAAGCCCTGTGGATGTGGCACCTGGGGACATGGGTTAGTGGTGGCCCTGGCAGTGCTGGGGGAATGGTTGGACTCGATGGTCTCAGAGGGCTTTTCCAGCCTAGGCAATTCCATTATCCTATGAGTAGGAAGGGTGAGGAAGCACCAGAAAGCAGAGAGAAACCCTGGAAAGACCTGAATTTTGGTGAGCAGCAGGTAAGCAGGCTGAGGGGCAAATGCACCAGGGAGGGTGGCTGGGCTGGCAGCCTCCCATGGCTGAAGATTTTCATCTCATTTTGGCTCTGTGGTGTGTAAAGATGGGGAAAGGGCTGTTGGGAATAGCAGGGCTGAGCACCTGATCCAGGGAGGAGGATAGAACAGCCTACAACAAGAAGAAATTCCTCCCCTGTGAGGGTGGGGAGGCCCTGGCACAGGTTGCCCAGAGAAGCTGTGGCTGCCCCATCCCTGGAAGTGTCCAAGGCCAGGTTGGACGGGGCTTGGAGCAACCTGGGCTAGTGGGAGGTGTTCCTGTCCATGGGAGGGGGTGAGACTGGAAGACCTTTAAGATCTCCTCCAATCCAAATCATTCCATGATTTTGTGACAGGCCTCAGTAAAACGCTGCTGGAAGACCAAGCAAGGGCAGGAAACAAGGTCACTGTTGAAATCCAGAGTGTGCCAGGGGATCAGTTTGGATCCCTGCAGCAGGACAGGGGGCATGTGCTCCATGGCAGGACAAGGGCTCTGCAGCCACAGCCATTCCCGTGCTGCCACCAAGGGAATGCTGCAGCTGAGATGCTGAGAAGAGTGAGAAGACAAAGATGAACGTGGAGAGATTTACTGAAAGAGGTGGAACAGGATCTGTGGCTGTCAGGGACAGCTGGACAGCAAGAGAGCCTGCACTGGGGGGACCAAGGGATCAGGGGTGACAGAATTAACCTGAAAAGCTGAAGGGTCTGCCCTGCCCTCAGGTGGGACACTGGACAGAGACGGGCTCGTGCCCTGCGGATACACACCAGGGAACACCCAGCTGGGGACAGCAGAGCTCGCTGTGACTGACCCCCAGCCAGCTCTGCCTCTGCTGACACCAGCTCTGGCCGGGCACTGCCACAGGCTGGGCACCAGCACGGGAGGAGTGGAGCTGCCATGGAGTTACCGGTGTTGGAAGAAGCCTTCCAGCGCCTTGCAGACGGTGTAACGCTCGGGTGGGGTCAGCAGGTGCTCCAGCTGCTGCGTGAAGGTCCTTCCTTGAATCTTGATGCTAGAGGGGAGAATCTCTGCAACCCACTGCAGGGAGGTGAGGGAGGAGGAGCTGCTCGGGGACTCAGGAGAGTCAGAGTCTGCAAAAAAAAATTCCATCTTTTCTTGGTTTCTTTTGAGGGCAGTGGAGCAGTTTGAGTGCCACTGGCTCTGTACTCTGAAGGAGGTCAGATTGGACTGGGTTTGGAGCAAGCTGGTCTAGTGGAAGGTGTCCCTGCCCATGGCAGTGGGGGGAATGAGATTATCCTTAAGGTCCCTTCCAATCCGAACCATTCTGGGATTCTGTGGTTATATGAAGCAGGGGGCTGCTGGGTTTTGTTTCTGGCACACATGCAAACAAGTTGGCATCCCAAGGCTCCTAATGTGGGACTAAGGGCAGTCCACTGCTGCTCCAAAGGGAAGAGCCAGTCCCTAATTCCTGGGTCTCTGCATTGTGGAGCAGCACCCCAACAACACAGTGACCCTCCTGCCTCCACACGGCTCTGGAACCGCAGCAGCGCCCGCGCTGTGCCCTGGGCTGGGGTCCTGCTGACACCACCCCACTGCCCAGACACCCTCAGCTCCTGCTGACTCCTCACCAGCAGCGAGTAAATTATTGATCCCAGCAGCAGGATAATTATCCTGCAGAGCACAGCCCATCCACAGCCATGGGATTGCGCAGCCACCATGGATGCACAGGGTCGGGTTACTGCGGCCAAGTACACGGCACAGACTGCACAGAGAGGACACTGGCAGGGGACACCAAGGACAATCACACAGCAGGATGAGCCCTCCTGGAGAGCAGCCAAGCCTGAGATCCAGCCTGATCCCAGAAAGCAAAGGCTGTGTGCCCTGGGGAGAGGAGCATCCCCCAGGCAGCGCCTGAAACCTGCTGAGCCTGTGGAGGTGCTCAGCAATTCCCTCTGCAGCGGGAACTGAGGAGCTGCTGTGGGCTTCCTGCCGCTCCAGACCCTCCTCCCCACTCTTACCATTGGAGATGTTGACGATCCCCTCTTCCACCACCAAGGTGGGCATTGCCCCACTGCCCTGCAGCATCGACACCACCTTGTCGTGGGAGCAGTTCCTGCGGGCACAGCAGAGCCGGGTCAGTGCCGCCTGTCCCCGTGGGCAGCACTGTGGGCAGCACTTCCAGGAGAGCAGCAGGGAGAAGGAGCTTGCAGCTGCCCTCATTTCTCTTGGAAAAGCCTCCTTGTGCTGCTCAGAGCCATGTTTGGGACCTGCTGTGATTCCCCTGGTTTCTCTCAGTCTTTGCTTGCTTTTACCTGAGCTGCACAGGAAGGAGCTTCCGAGAGAGAGAGAGCCTGGATGGTGCCCCAGGAGTGGTCTCCTTGCTCTACCTGCCCTGAGGAATAACCACAGGGACTCCTGTGGAGCTCATGGCACATGAAGCCAGTGTTCAGCTACACCCAGACCCAGAAAATGAATTTTCCTTTAAGTGACACAGTGCTGCGGGTCTCTCCTTGCCTGTCCTAATTCCACACAATAAGAAAATGCAAGGTGAATATAAAGTGTAATTTTGTAGGCAAAAAAATCTTGGTCTGCCCTTGGAGAAGGGTATGGGCTGGGCTGGGACAATGACTGCCAAAACAGGCTCAGAGGACAACCCTCAACTCATCTCCTCTATTTTCTGGCAGTGCTGCATCAGCCAACAGTTTGCTGGATCAGCTGAAACATGAGAACCTGAGCCCTGACAGAAGCAGCATCAGATGTTTAACCTTTAAATATTCATCACTCTCTCTTATCCTATAGCCTCCTCTAACCCTTTGCTCTTGGTTTCTGTGTAAAAAGACCAATCAAGGACACAGGGGCTGCTGCCCTGAGCTGGTGAGGGCCCCTCTGGTCCCATTGCTTTGGTGCACAAATAATATACAGAAGAATAAACTTCTGGGTAAAAATGTGATTCCCATGTGGCTTTAAGCTTATGATCCCATCCTGGGAGTGATTCATGAGCTGAATGGTGCTCTGCTGCTTTCCAAAGCAGGTGTTTAACACATACAGATTAACTCAGAGAGGCTCAAATTGGGGTCTAGGGTTGGGCTGCAGTCAGGACCCCAGTTATAGAGACTGTCCTGCATTATACATCGTTATTTGCACAGAGAAACCAGAGGAGGAGCAGGGATGGAGAGAAATGCTACTCTCAGAGCAAGATTTGGTAAAAGAATATTAAAGGAAATGTCCCCATGGGGCAAAACCCCTCGTGCACCAGAGCAGACACCTCTCCAGCCCCAGCAGCTCTCATTTCTGGGGCACAGGAGTGACCCCACACGTGTGCTCAGCCCCTGCCAGCCCAGCCCCTCACACAGGGGGCCTGCAGAGCTCTCACCTCATGTCCAGACCGTTGAGGAACAGGATCCTGTCTCCAGCTTTGAGAGCAGCCTTCTCTGCCGGGCTCCCTAAACACACAGGGACAGGAGGGGCTTCAGCTGGTGCCACCTGCTTGGGAGGGGGTCCCAGTTCCCCAGCCATGCCCAGGACACCCCAGGCAGGGCACCCACTGCTGCTGGGTGTCCTGGGACCCTTCACCCAGCTGGGTGCCAGCACCCAGCCTGCACTGGGAACACTGGTGTCACGTCAGGACATTCACTGAACACACACTTTCCACCTTTCAAAACGAGGAGTGGATGAAGCCAAACTAAATTGTATCAAAGATGCTCATTATTCCACTGGGAAAACTCCATCACAGAGCCTTGGAAAAGTCCTTTTTGCTCTTTTCTAGCAAACAGCACTTCACATTTCAAGTTCAGAGCTGGGATCAATAAGTGATTTTGAATCTCATGGCTGGAACTGTTCTTACCTGGCAGAACAGACTCGATCCACACTGGGGCATGGCCACGGAGTGTGAAGCCAAAGCTCCTGTTGCCTTTATAAACTCGCACGGTTCTGCAGGACAAAAAAGCAAATGGGACATGAGAGTCCAAGATTTGGCCCTTGTTTCCTTCCCCAGCCCCTCCACAACCCTGTTAGCCCAGGTGTCTCCTGAGTGCTCAAGTCCCCAACATTCCCAGTATCCCCACAAGGTCCCCTTTGATACCAAAGTCTTTCAAACGTTGTTTTAAAGTGGAATGTGGGCTAAATATATATATATTTAAAGGACACATATATATATATATAGAGAGAGAGAGGTATAGATATCTCCACTCTGTGATTCTTTATTACACAGAATTAGAGGGACAATGTGGTTTAGGGAGCAAAGGTCTCATAGCCTGATGTGAGAGGAATTAAATTCCTCTAGGAAATTTTGGAAGGAGGACTGGGAAATCTCCCTGCTGGGAGGCTGATTGGAGCTGGGAGTTGTTCCTGCAGGGAGCTGGGGGAAGGCAGCATTACCAGCAAGATCCTGTGCTGGCAGGGAGGGAGACTGTGCTGGAAATGGGTTTTGGACAAGTCACATGGAAATTATCCTGGCAGGAAGGCGAGCTGGAGCCAGACACCCTGGATTGCCCAGATCCTGCTCTCTTGTTGGTGAGACGGAGCTGGATCAGAGCAGGAGCCACAGCCAGGGCTCTGCACCCTCCAAGGCTGCTGAGGTCTGGCCATATGGGCACGGGAAGTGGGTTAATCCCTGTGCTCCAGGGATCGTCCGTCCTTCCTCCCACGGCCTCACACCCAGACACTTGCTGGGGCCTGGCAGGACCAGCCATAGACTCACAGAATCATGGAATTGTTAAGGTTTGAAAAGACCTCTAAGATTATCAAATGCAACCATCAACCAGCACCACCACCACCACCCCATTCACCACTAACCCATGTCCTCTAGTGCCACATCCACATGGTTTCTGAACACTTCCAGTGATGGGGACTCCACCACTGCCCTGGGCAGCCTGTGCCAGGGGTTGCCAATCCTTTCTGTGAAGAAGTTTTCCCTAATATCCAATCTAAACCTCCCCTAGCAACTTGAGACCATTTCTTCTCATCCTGTCACTTGTTATCTAACCTAAACTTCTCCTGGCAGAGCCTGAGACCATACCCTCTTGTCTTACTGATAGTTATCTGGGAAAACAGGCTGACCCCCACCTGGCTACATCCTCCTGTCAGCCTGCTCTCTGCTCGGGTACCCTGCACCCCACTGGCACAGCTGGGCACCCTGGAACCTGCTGGCACAGCTGGGCACCCTGCAGCCCACCCAGCAAGGAGCCAACACCTCCTCTCAGCCTGCTAGTGCCACCTCAGCTCATCCCAGCCAGCCTTGCAACGCTGAGGGGACCCAAAGCTGTCCCAGAGCCAGGGCGGGGCACAAACCTGCCCAGACTTTGAGAGGGAGGGGTGTTTGTTCATCCCGATCCCAGGAGGGTTTCACAGGGAACACATCCCTTTTCCTCGTGCCCCTCCCTTTCCCTGGCATCCC